ATAATCTTTATCCAATAAGATATGAGATATTTATAATCCAATAAAATATTATGACAAAAGGTCATTATACAACAATAGTGAGGAATTCGAAAAAAAGGTAACAGATATTAGCTTTAAAAACGAACTTAACGATCAAATGACGAGAACACAGATTTATAATGAAATGGAACCATTTCTTCCTGGCATTAAAAGAGAGTATTTGCGTAAAAAAACTCAAAAGGCTAGAAATATTTATACATTATTCAAAGAAATAGAAATAGATAAAATCAAACAAGTTACATATAGTGCTGATGCTATTTCTAGTTTAACGGGTGTTCAAATCCAAAATATAATAAAGCTTTTCTCTGAAAAACCTAATGTAGAATTAGTAAACGAGCAAGCTGAATGTCAAAAAGTGATCGGCGTGAAGAATCTTCACGCGCAAACAACCAAACGATCTTGCTCAAATGATATATCAATCACTAAGGTAAATCTATCTCCCATCGATTTGAAACTCAAGACGAGTGAAAAAACCAACAAAGTATTACCGGAAACTGGGATAAATGTATTACCTTCAGATACAAAAATCAATGTTATTGCTTTACAGCCACAGGCTAAACCACTTGTATCTCGACCTCCTATCTCTATTCTACCCGATGATCCAAAAGAGAAACGAAACCATGTAATTAAAATGGTATTGGAAAAGGTTCCTAATTTATCTCTTAACTATAGTAATAAAAATGTCGATTACTTTACTTGTTTAACATCGTGTCGTATATGCAATAAAATTCATAAAAAGGAAAATTTAGAAGGTGAGTGGGGTGGTGGTGAATATGTCAATACAAGAACATATCGTCTCAGATGCTGGGGAAATAAATATCAGAATTCAATCCAAATAGTAACAGTGAAAGCATAGACTACTTACTAATTTCGAATATTAAGGTGTTAATATAATTTGATAGCATAATCATTTTTTTCAGATAATTGTTACGCATTATTAGGCATATAACAGAGTATTAAGTCACACCGGGAAATACCCGAAATAGATTATGCAACGATTATCCCAAATAACGATCCACACACCCGAAATAGATTTCATGTGTCAAAAATAGATCGTAATAGATCGTAATATATCTACAGTACATGAGCGATTTATATATAAATATCGCTACAAATAAATCTTTAGAATCGACTCTAGACTATTGCAATATAATGATGATGCAAAGCATCGAATCTCCGATTCCCCTTCGTGTCTACAATTATCGATATAACCCAATATGCATCGAATCTCCGATTCTCCTTCGGGTCTACAATTCTCGCTACAACCCAGGCCCAAAGAGACGAATCTTTAGATTCATATGGATCTCTCCCATTCTCATCGTATATATCACTCGCAAAATATGGCGAATATATACAACTCATCCAATAACCCAGGCTCTATGAGCGTTCTTTGAGCATCGCACAAAATTGAATCATATATTCTAGAGTATATAGTTATTAGTGGAACTAGCAAGGCTAAATCAAATAGATCTAAATATTCTAAATACGATATAATCACATATAACTTCATAAATACTACAAATAGATTATATAAGATAGATGGTTAGCTTAAGTGAAAGACGTGGAACCAATTGTACCGATGCCGAATGGGATGAATATTGTTGGATGCTGTCACGATCTGGTGATTGGGTTGGTTTTCCGATTCTTTTGGTTCTGGATCACAAGTGGAACATCCCTGGTGATTTTCGTTAAGTCGATTACAACACCAGTGACAATGGCAATTATTCAGCCAATATTCCCGGTTGCCCTTTTTCTGCCCGTAATAATTTTCTACGGCAATTATTTTCAAAACGTCCTGGCAATCGGGGCATCGATTTCCTCGATGTGGCGAATCTCCCCAATAATTTGATGGACAGATATGAGGTAGACGTCCTTCCTGTTCTTTCGTTGTTTTTCTCGGAAATCTCGATTTCAGCCAATGATATGTTTCTTTGGTAGTTTTTGGGTATTCCACGGTTTCAATTGTCATTACCGGTATATTTTCATCGCTAGACTCATTCTCGCTTTCTTCAGACCGATTTTCAGCTTCTGATTCTGAGGCTAATTGCCTCTCCGCAAGATAAGTCGGCTGTAAATTACTTCGTTGGGGTCTTCCTTGTTGCGGTCTTCTCCCCCAATTATTTCTTCTTTCATTTTGTCTCTCATGATTATTATTTCAGTATACTGGGACATATGCAGGACGTGGCGGTGACGATCTTACTATCGGTGGATATCGGGGTCGATAGTCGGTGGAAGAATTATTCTGGTAAGTATTCAGCGGTCTTCGGTATTGATTTCTTCTTTGATCTTCCTGTTTGATTCGACATTCCTTAGCGATATGTCATTCTCTATTACAATAGTAACAGGTTCTTCTTCCAGTAGTCGGAATGGTAGAGGCAGTTGTTTTTGGTGATGTTTGTTGAATCAATAATGCCTGGATGGCTTTCTCTAAGGTAGATATTCGTTTATTTTCTTTGGCTTCTGTTGTTTCCTTCTTTCCTTCTAAAACAACATTAACACTAGTCGTAAATGTGCTGTAGGCTAGGACGGTTTCAGCATCCTTAGCTTCTTTAAACGCTCTTTCCATCATTTTTATCTTTGGATCATATACTCTTTTTCGTAGTTTATGATCCAGGCTTCGGACGAACATATCAGCTTTTTGTTGCGTTGTGTAATAATTTCCAGTTGGATCAGCTCGTCGTAGGAGTTTGGCGAATTCTCCGTAGTATTTGGTTACGTTATCGGTGGGATTCTTTCTCATGGTGGCCAGTTTTGCGTGTAGTTTAGCAGTAGAAGTTTTTCCCATGAAAAACTTAAGGAAAGCCTTAATGAAGGTATCAGTATTTTCAATTGTTTCTTCTGGAAGCGTTTCGTACCATTCGTTAGCGGTATCCTTCAAAGCTAACGGAATTCTCATAGCTAATGTCGATTTATCCCATCCATTAGCAGCAGCAATCTTGGATACCTCCATGACCCAGTCCATTGGATCGTCGTCCTCATCGTTTCCTCGAAAAGTGGGTAATTTATATTCTTTTGGTCGTGGTGGTCCTCCTTGCTGTTGTGGTTGTTCCTGTAATTTCGCGAGTCTTCGCAGTGGAATGTAATCGTCGTCATCATCGTTGTCAGGATCATTGGGGTCGGATCCATCGGGATCATCTTCTATCCCTTGGGCGACTTGATGTCTCATTTGCTGAAGATTTTCTGTTTTCCTTTTTTCGGCTGGTCTTTTTTCTTTTTCTTCAGTTGATCGTGAGTTTCTTTTTCGAGATCCTTCATCTTCTCGTTCACCGTCATAGCCAGTTTCTTCCTTTTGCGTAGTGGTTAATGTAGTAGTGCCCGTACTCATTTCTGATCTTGATCGTTTTTCTCCGGATTGGAATAATTCCTGAAATTGTTTAGTTAGTTTCTTTTGTTTTTCTAATGATTCTCTTACCTGTTCTTCGTATTCTTCGGTCTTATCAAGACTTTCTTTTTCGGTTATACTGGCCAAGGTTCTTTCGGTAAGTGTAATGTTTTCCTCTACGGTTTTCTTTGCTTCGCGTGTCGCTTTTCTTATCTTCCTTCTAAATACTTTTTCTTCTTCTGTAAATTCAGCGAGGATACTCTCGTTAGTGCTCTCGTGGCTTGTCGATTCGTCGTTGTCGGATTTGATGAAGGCTATGTTGGCGTTTTCCGCGTTTTCTTCGTCAAATCCGGTCAAATCAAAGACGATTTCTAAGTTTTCCTGGCAATGTGCGAATATAAGTTTTCGAAGAGCTCGGATGTAGCACTTGCTTTCGTCTTGTCCTATTTTAAAATGACTTTCGGCTTCTATTTGTACGGCGAGTCTTGTCTGGACGGATCTTGTTGGTTTTTCTCCTCCTTTATGGAACTGAACGCGTTC